GGGGGGGGTGACACAGGGGTGAAACAGTGGATGAGTATACCATGGAGGATGATTCAGCGAGTGCAGTAAAGGAGGGGGTTTACCTGGCTCAGGTTCAGTGGGTGCAGGCGGGGGTGGATCTGGGACTAGAAGATTAGAGTGTGTTAACACGAAGGGACATGACATTTGGTTTGGATTTTATTGGAGGACTAAAGAGAGCACTCACATGAGTCAGAGCTACAGCGGGGGACAGCACAGTACTCCCACACCAGCTGCAGGTTCTTCCACACAAAACACCACGGACGCCGCTTGTAGTGCAGATTCCTGGAAAACAACAACATATATTCACATGGATATTTCAGTTACTAAATGCATCCCTACTGTAAAACCTAATTGTTGGAATTACTGAAGGGATTTTTTGAATCGCTTCCTATCCTCTTTTTAGCCCTGAGCAGCAGCCATATAGTTTTCTTTGTGTTTCGGTCGGTCTACCCGTGCTCCCCCACCTTTTTGAAGTTTGAGCACTTCAGCTTAAATATTACAGAATAAGCTTTGAATCTTGAATCGTATGTCCCACCAAAACGATCTTATCGTTCAGGCTGTATATATAGCTTCAGAGTGGTGTCAGCCTACCTGCAGTAGTTGTGCCTCCCTGACTTGAGATCTATTGACAGGTAGAGCTCCCTGGTGTCTGAATCCCACTCCTCACATGTGCGTCCGCTCTTTGATTTGGCCACGGTTCCTCTGTAGTACAGACCCACCCCCTCGAAGCACTGACCGGCTTTCACTACAAGAACAGCAGGGGGTTTGATTTAATAAATGATATCAAAAGTCAATGCAATTTGGTTTGTTTGTTTAGATCTGACCTTTTTCACAGTGTCTCCCCTCAAAACCTTCGGCACACAAACAGAACATGTGTTCACCAGAAGTCAGGGACGGGACAGAGCTGCCTCCATTAAGACAGATCCTACCTGTAAGACAAATCGTAATCACATTTAGAACTTATTAGGTTTCATGCTTCAGTGCACTTTGTTGCACACCATAAACTAAAACAAACTAAATGTAATTTGTTTTAAATAGTGCAAAAAAAAAGAGGGAAAAAAAGACAAAATAGAAGAAAATTATATATTAAAAACACATCAAATCATTTTTAGAAAGACCTACTCAAATATTCACAAATTATTTGAATTAAACTGAAATAGCTGTGTAGTTTGAATGATACACTTCAATACAGCCTGGTTTTAATGTACTGTACATAACCAGAGTGTGAATTCTCACCTGCACTTTCAAAGGAGGAGGAAGACGAAGACGAAGAGGACGATGTTGACTGGGAGGAAGAAAAGAGAGGAAAAGTATGCCCTCTTTTTTCTCTCAATAATCCCTAAAAAGTACCAACATTTGATTAATTATCATAAACATAAATGCAATTTTCAAAAGAATCACAGTAGAAATGCCCTTACTGCCTCAGCTGCTGACAGGGCTGCCAGGGTGCAAATTAAAACAAAGTTTCTCATCATTGCCATGTTTGGAATCCCAGCAGCATGAGCGTGCCTGCAGAGTGTGTGCACCTCCTCGGGGGTAACGTGTTTTGTCTACTGTGTGCAGGGAGGAGGGGAGGCTCCTGATTGGCTGAGGAACTTTCCCACAGACTGGCATATGATATGTGTGAAGTAATATCTGTTTGCAGGGTGAGTGGGTGAGTTAAGGCTGTTTAGCTGAGTATTTCCCAGGAAGCATGTCAATAACTTTGGTATGCTGGGACGTTATTTCAGATATGCAGCTGTTTGAGTGGAGAATTTCACAAATTCTGGATGCATATGAGTCATATAAGTACTGTGAAACATGTTGTGAGGTTCTGGACATCATAAACACACCCTGTTAGACCTCACCAGTGACACCACAACCCCACCAGTTGGGAAACTGATACTGATATTAAGTAATAAGACCACAGGAAGGAGGAATGGTTTCTGTTCTGAAAGGGCGTGTATTCATAAGTCATAATGTCTCTGTAATACAGTGTTAAATCAAGACCACGGTCAAGTTTTCATTTATTTTAAAATGCAATAAAATGCATCTGTCTGTCTCATCACTATGTAAGAATAAATAAGAGGCAACAGAATTATTAAGGAATACCACAATATTATAGAAATAAGTAGTCAAACTATATTTGATCCATGATCCTTAACATGCAGTAACACATTGGACTTGGATGGCAAATTTGGAAACTATTTATTATTTCTAAAAAAAATGTCAGGGATGGGCAACTTGGATGGTGGTGGGGGCCACATAATGTATGTACTGGCCACCAGGGGGCCGCAGATTCACTTGGAACCCACAAATTCCATGTATTGTATGTAATTATTAACAAATATACTAAATCTGACAGGGTCCGTGACAGTTTGTTTTCATCTGATTTCAAATAAACAAGGTCTTGGTTTTAAGAATATTAAACTTGTTTCGCCAAATTCAGATGATAAAAACAACTTTTAAGCTTGTAAAGGCATAATTACAAGCGGTAACTTAACGTCACAGCAGGCATAACAACAGCCGGTTTTTCTTGTGAGTGTTTCCCCGGGAAACAAACACAATACACACAAACGCGTCACAGATTATTTCGCGATATTAGGCTGCCGCATGCGGCCCACGGGGCGCCATTTACCCATCCCTGATATAAGTCATTAAGCTCAATGGATCCACTTGAAAAAAATAGATAAACATTTATATTGTGGTTAGTTACTGTTTTATTTAAATGTGTTGCATATAGTGTTCTTATTGCTGGTGGAGATTATGTTTCTAGTACCTAGAGTTTCAAAATGACAAATATGTTTTTAGATTTTTTTAGATATGCTTTTTTTTTCTTTTAGTTTACAAATCTGTGATCAGTATTGGGCCAAAATACATTTCTGATATGCTTTAAGTTATAAACCCGGTAGGTCCTTTACAGATCTTTAGGAATGAGAGTAGTGACTGAAATTGTAAAAAAAACTGCACGGATCAGAAAATGGAAGGAAACCCAATAATTGAAAACGTAAGGTTTTTTAAAGGGGACCTATCATGCAAAATGCACTTTGTGATGTCTTTTATACATACACTTATGTGTCCCCTGTGCGTCGGGGAACTCACGCAGTGTCAGAAAATAAAACCCTCTCTCTTTTCCTCCGCACCCAAATCTTTTAAAAACGGGTGTACAACGAGCGGATACAGATTTCCATCCGCTGTGACGTCGGCAGACCCACAAAAAGTTGCTATCAGAAACAATGCCTGACGTGTTTTGGATGTCTTTGTTTACATTAGCAACCCTCGCTAACACTCAGAGCTAACCTGTACTGGAGAGCACATGTGTTTAAAAAGCAGGAAATAAAAAAAGAACTCACCTTGTGATAAACCTGCAAGAGAAAAAGCATTTGAGCTCCATACTATTTCAGAAATAATCCTTGACGTGGTTTAAACAGGATGGCGTTTTATCACAACCGAATTTAACTTTATCTCTGGTAGAATTCTGATCAGGCATTAGCTCCGCCTCCTCTTCTTTTCTTTTTTCAAGCTAAGGACCCACGATCCGCGTTTCTCTAACAGGGCTGCAAAAGAGGGGTTTGAGCAGTATGAGGCATGGCTACAATGGGTGATCTGTTTGGTATTTTGAAAAAAAAACTTCACAGACATGTTTTATATAGGTATGGCCCTACAATATATTTTTTAAATATAGCATGATAGGTCCACTTTAACTCTGGTTTACTTTTCTAAATAAGAAACTATTGTCAAATGTTGGCAATTTTAGTAGGACAACAAGACACGAACAGTATCAAATACTTTGTAAACTTGCAAGACTTTACATTTTTGAATACATATTTTTAATCACACCATTAGTTATTTTACATCATGATCAGGTTAATTGCACATGTTGTTATAAGAAGCAGCTTTTGATGGCATCATGGTGGCCTTAATATGATTTTAGCAGTTAGCTTGTATGTTGTTGGCTAATGCTATGAGCTTTATAAACAGCTGAGGGGCAGGTAGCTGTAGAATATGTTGGTGTGTTTGTTGGCCCAGGAAGTCGATACTAACCAAACATAAAACACTTTAACTCATATTAAAATCTATCAGAATAAAAATGATGACATAAGAACACTGATTATGCCGTTTTGTAATAAAGTGTCACTGGATGTCACTGTTGCTCTGTAAACAGTTCATTTATCCTGATTGTACCTGAGGTATCATGATGTGTTCTTCCCTTTACATTCTATGGTTCTTCCATTGGCCGATGACTCCTTATGTAATTGGAGAAAATAAAACTACTAATAACTTTTCATGAAAAAGAAAACCGAATTTCGATGAAATAATTTGATGATGATGCTGATGATGATGGTGTAGATGTGATTGTTTCATTCTTATTACCTGCATCTGAATCACTGACCCACGCAAATTAAGCCACTTTTAAATGAACAGTGTAAATGAAGGCAAATATGTACATTGGGATCCCGGAAGTCGTCCAGTTTGGATCCTGCTTGGCTGAATGTTGCCTTTAAGGGCCTTAGGAATAATTAGATTATCTTCGATAGATAGAGAATTTAGAACAAATTGTATTCAACGCAAATATTTTAGGTCAATATATCTGAAACAGTTAATTCATTTAAATTACCTTGTTAAAATATGTTTATTTTATTTATTTCAGCAATACGTTTTTTATTTCCTTTTCATTTAACAACATTATCTATTTTTTGTTAGTTTATTTTGGAGTATTTTATTAATTTTACCATCTAACTGATGTTTATTTGTTTGTTTCCATATGTAAATCCCTTTTTTGTATGCGTATCATTATTAATATTATTTTATTATTATAGTTATTATTGTGTTATACAATTATTATCAGTTTTCTTTTTACTCTTGTTACCTTGTTGTTGCGATCATTGTGAAGTTTGTGTCTTGTTTTTTCTATTGCCTATAAATGATGAAGTTCGATATAAATGTATTTACAATACAAATAATTCATTTACAAATAATTTCGATTTATAAAATGTACAGCAATGTGTTCCTCAGTTGCACCACATGTCAATTTTAACAAAAACAACATCATGAATAAGCATTACCCATGTTAAAAACATAAAAAAACAACAACAGCAGCTATTTTTGACATGACATTCCCTTTGCATGTGGATATTCCGAGCAGCCCCTGAACGCAGCAGGAACAGAGCGGTGGATGAGGGAGATTATCCTCCTTTACTGCGACTGTTAACCTGCTGTTAACACGGATTCTAACAGGAGGTGTTGGTTTGTGACACAACATGGGAAACGCCGACACCAAACTGCACTTCAGGAAAGCGGTGATACAGCTCACAACCAAAACACAGGTCAGTTATTTAAAAAGAAAAAACTAACGTCGCTTGTGTTTTAAATTCAGCTTGTGGAGATAAAGTTAGAGTGCCAGATGGTAACCTTAACTGAAGCCTCAATGACACAAAGTGGAAGGGAAGTCAAGTAAACACTTCAGTCAGTTTACAAATGAAGATGTCCTGACATAATATACATACATTTCGTGAAATAGCCTATAGATATTTTCCTCTGTATTTGTGGAATTTCAAGAGACTGTCAAAAGGCAGGTTGGCCCTATTGGTGTTCTGAGTCCTTCACCTGTTTTGTTTGTTTTGTGAAATTATCCTTAAATAACTTGAACATTTGACATGTGATTGTTAAATGTTGAATTGAATTAAATTAGTTTTCCTGCAGGCAGCAAGTGTTTCCCTCGCAGGTGCATTTAAGGTGGAACTAACTAGATGAAGTTGATAAGGATCTACTACAGACTCTGCACTCAGGCCTGTTTTTAGTGTTCGACAATTGATTCATCGAGTTACCTTCAAGTGAAAGAAAAATACATCTGTGATAGTAGGTTTACATGTATTCGGTTTTTTGGACAAACCAAAGAATGTTGACATTTTCTGAATGTTTAGGACTAATCGATTAATCACTTACTCAATAAATAACCGACTGATTATTTGGTATTGAAAAGTATCCTTAGTTGGTTGCTTGTGTTTTTTGTGTCGTACATAATTATTCTCTTTATGTTAAATACAGAACCAATTATATGCAGAATGTAATGTATGACTGTCATGTTGGAAAAGCAAACATTATCTACTACAGCTGTCATATACATGTAGTGGAGTACAAGTACAATATTTATCTGAGAAGTATTTAGATAAAATGAATATAAAAGTATCAGTAGAAGTAGCTTGTACTTAAAAACAGTACTCCCATAGACTTTATAGGGTTTAAGACAACATCAAGTCAGAGACAAATAGGAAAAAAGAACAGTAAACAAAAGGGATAAATACACTAAGGTTAATAAATAATAAAGGTTTTAAAATAAAAAGACACATATTCCGTTTTCTTCTGAATAGCTGATTTGAGAAAACTGTACTCAATAATAGGTGCACAGTAATGAGCAGTACAAAATGATGATTCTCCAGACTGAGATCATGATACGCACACACAAAGAATGACTTTTTGTCCTCTCCTGCAGCCTGTAGAAGCCACAGACGATGCCTTCTGGGATCAGTTCTGGGCCGACACCTCCACCACGGTCCAGGATGTGTTCGCTCTGGTTCCGGCCGCAGAGATCAGAGCTGTGAGAGAGGAGTCTCCATCCAACCTGGCAACCCTCTGCTACAAGGTAACCTGCATTCATCAGGATGGGGAGGAGATGTAAATGATGGTTTTCAGTATGTATCCAGTCAGAGATGTCCTGGACTCAAATATACAAGTCATTTTCTGGAATTTTGAGACAATATGTTTTTATAGCATCTCAAAAATCAAGTTTCAATACATTTCCCTACCTAACAAAAGTGTGTTGTCTTAGTGCAGCTATTCTTCTGTCAGAGTCACAGGAATGCTGCGGTTTGTTCACACACTTTACATGTTACACACATCACTGTTTGTAAAGGTCAAAGGTTATTTGAGTAAAGCAGATGGGGTGTTCCGTGTAGACCTGGCTGACAAATAAAATGTTCAACAAAAGGAACAAATAGGCAGTAAGACAGGACAACCTACATTTCTTACAGCAAGGAACAGTTAGACATTGAAATCTTTAATCCCTTAATGTCAAGTTTTACTTTTAGAAGCTTTGTTTTTGTTATTCCACTCTGTCTAACAGTATCATGTAATGTACTCTATATTCCCTTTCAGTTTGATTAAGCTCACTATGAACTATTAATGATTTTTGAACTGAGTAAAATATTGAATCCCAAAACTCTGTTTCTCATAGCCGCACCATCTTGTAAAACAGGGGTATTTCTGATGTCTTGTGTGCCATTTTAGACACATTTCCCAAAACTTGTTGCTGTTATATGTTGTATATTTTCAAACATAGGAATATCTACTAGAATTTGACATAAATATCTGTGGGATTGAACAATGTTTGTCTGCATGGTGTTTTTAATGACTTCTCAACACCAATCGCTGCTGTCTTTGTTAACCAGAACCAACAAATTAAATATAATCTTCTTTTAGGGAAGATAGGTCTAGAAATGTCAGCTGCCTGCAAGGCTCACCATTATCACATCAATTTAAAATGAAGTCAAATTAACTTTGGAGATATGTGTATGACACCTGCTCAAGGTAGGGGGCACAGGATGGAGAGAATATTGATGTTGAACACAGAATCTTACAAAAGAAATATATCGTAATTGAAATCATAAATGTATAGACACCTGACTTTATAGTATTGTTCTGGTTTTAAGTTATGTGTTTTTCTCCCTCAGGCAGTGGAGAGGTTGGTGCAGGGTGCTGACTCCGGCTGCCCCTCAGAGAAAGAGCGTCAGATCGTCCTGAACTGCACCCGCCTGCTCACACGCATCCTGCCCTACATCTTTGAAGACGCTGACTGGAGAGGCTTCTTCTGGTCCACCGTGCCCGGGGCCGGTCGAGCGGGGGTACGACTCACACTGACACTCAATCTGTTCCAGGAAGTAATGCTGAGCAGAAACACTCTTGTATAATTCTTGCACTTTCTGGTGTGTTTCCTGTTTGACGCTTAGTCTGCCTCCTGTCTGATCAGAGGATATGAGGAGGGGGAAGCTCCAGAACTGAAAGGTCTTCAGGCTGTTAACTGCATCATTAATGATTTCACATTGAAGCTTGTGAGAGATTCAGTCCTGGGAGGGGACTGTAATAGGAAAGTTATGCATTGAGGAAGCAATAATCAAACAAAAATCACAAACCTGTGTGTGTGCGGGTTAAAAGGGTAAATGGATTACATTTTATATAGCCCTTTTCCAGTGTTTGCAGCTCCTCAACATGCTTTTACATATTTTTGACTTTTTTTTATCAAGTCAGCAGTCACCCACATTCATACAGAGGCAGTTTGTCAGGGAGACAAACACTGGCTCACTTTCACACACCTATGGCCAGGCCAATTTGGGCTTTAGAATCTTGCCCAAGGACACAGCAAGATGTTGACTGCAGGTGTTAGGGATCTAACTTCCGACCTTACGACTGGTGTATGACCTCTCTACCTCTACCAGTGCACTTGTGTATTATCAGTTTTCATACTGGTCAGGTTTTGGTCCAGAGTGTGTGGATGAAGCAAAGTTAAATATTGCTAATTTAACAGCTGGCTAGTTAGCTATCTATCTAATTGCCACGTAAAGTTCCCTTAATAGCGCTCAGAGAATACCCATATAACGTGCTTTGCTCACAATAATTGCAGTCCCACGCCCGTGATGTGTTTCTGGATCGCAGTGTTATGCTTCACCACTGATCAGTTGGTGGCAAACACTCACATTGTATGGGGGGGAAGAAGAAGTAGAAGATGACGGCTCCCAAATAAACAGTGCATGTCTCAAAATTCACATAATTTGCAAATGTTTTACGAGAAAGGGAATGCTAAATCCAAGCAGTAGAAATCTCCAGATCTTTGGGAAAATAACAAGCCTTGATGCTTTTATTGGTTGATTTAATTAACAAAAGAACAACGAATCAAAATTGTACCGTTAAACTTATTCTCAGAGGGAAATGTATAAATCTTCTGCTGCCTTTCCAAACCTGCAGCTGAACCTGAAGGAGAACAGCAGTCAGAGAAATCCTATCCCGCTGCAGACAGTTTGCAGAGTTCAATCCGTCCGCAGCCCCTCAGCTTTACACACATCAGAGGATTTGAGATTAGCACGTATAATAATCCACAATGTTTAGAAGTGATGGACAGAGCAGGATCTGTAAAATGAGAAGGTTGCTGCTGTCGACGTCAGTGTCTGAAACCCACCCCTCCCTCCACCCTCCCTCCCCCCTCATCTCTCCCTCACCTCTGCCTCATCTCTGCCTCCTGACGGCTGCTGGTTCTCTGGTTACCTGTACGACCAGGGACCCACCATCCAAACACTGCCCATATTGTCTGTCCCCCCCCATCCCTCCTCCTGGCCATGCAATGGTTGAATTAAAAGGGATTGAATGTCCCTTAATTACAGTGTGGGACTGGAGTAAAGTGCAGAGCTGCAGCAGTTGGAACAGAATAATGGGTTGTTGGTAGTTGTATGAAATCAGTTTGTGGTTCTGTGGGAGAAATTGCTATTGATTTGATTTGTTGGGAACAAAATTGAAACATTTAGATTTTATAGTAGGGGCGGTCACGATATCAGATTTTCCCCACATACATATTGTGGTCAAAGGAATTCACGATGACTATATACCATAATACAGGGCTGCCAACACTCACGTATTGAGCGTGAGAGTCACGCAATTAACCCATATCTCACGCACTCACGCCACACTTGCCTTTCCTCACGCTAAATTTTCGTCCAAAATAAATGTATATAAAAATGGATTGAAGGAACAGCAAACCGAGCGGTCTACGAAATGAGACGGTCTTCTGGCTCAGTTCAGTAAAGTTGGAACGATATTGGGAGATTCAGATTTCACGGATCAATAACTCATGAACAAAACGTTATTCAGACACAAATGACGTCTCCTAAGTACCGTGGTAAGGTTGACAACGAACTACAATCACATTTTGATTAAAAAAAAAGCCAATACGCGCCGTCCTCCGAGCTGGACACATTGGTCTCTATCTATCCGCAGCCAGAGAAGAAACGAGTGCTCAGGGACCGTCTGCAAAGTGCAACTCCGAAAAAAGAGAATAGGCCTACAATAATATTCAATCACTATTATACAGCTTATTACTAGCAAACTCACTACACACATCAATAGTCTCCTCTTTGTCATACTACAGCAAGGAGTTTGGAAGAATATGCTTTTGAATAATTATGGGGAATATTTATAATGTAAAATCTTCAATAAATATGGCATCATTACATTACATTACATTGCATTTAGCTGACGCTTTTATCCAAAGCGACTTACAGTAAGTACATTCGACCAGGAAGATACAAACTTGAAGAAAACAGNTGCATTGTTGTTGTTAGCATCTGGTTAGCTAGTTGTGCTAACGGATATTAAAAGCTGTTTCTAAAACAAGGAAAGGGAGAGCTCTGTCCTGTCAGACTGAGATAACTACAGCTCAGTGAGGTAAGGGACTCTGTTTAGATAGTTAACTTTAGTCTAGTTATCTCAAGTGGGTCTTAAACGTTTTGGTCACCATTTATGAGAATAAATGAAAAACAGTTATGAAATACTATATGACAGTAAAACAAGAATACAGTTTTAAAGGTGAGTGATTTGGAAAATATCCAAAAAGAAAATCTGTTTACAGTTCTGTTTCATATGGGTGTTGAGAGATGTATCCATAAATTCATTTTTGCTCTCAAAGTGCACCAGATTGATGCATTTAACTTCAATATTTAAACAAAAAAAATCTTAGAGGAGGTGAGGACCCCCCTCTCACTCCAAGCTGAACTCAAAATGTTGGCAGCCCTGATTTATTTATTTAATTATTTATGTATTTATTTATTTATTTAATTTTGGCTTAAATGGCATTCCATAGTAAACAACAAAAGCTGAGAATGACATCAGTGAAGTAAGAAGAAAGAGGAACACAAGCGGGGAGGTGCTCAGTTACACACTAATGCATCCACACACAGTTACACTGAGACATTCACACACACAGTCACACAGTTCTATACCCTTAGTCACTAGGTAAATACTGTCATACATGTCATCTGTCATACAGTACATATCATCAATCAAAAATGGCAATCATAGCAAGATGTCAATAGTACTTACACTTTTAAAAGCTGTTTTAGGAATTGGACGGCACTTTAGAAGTGAGTCACTTGCTACCCAAGGCACAGTAACACGACCCTGTATTTAAAAAAAAAAACTATGTACATGTCACCCCATCAGCCAGTCTGGGTGAGTAAATTCAAAATTGAAAAGCTTTTATTGTACAGAATACAAAGAGATTTATAGTCATTGCTCCAGTGAGTGCTTTGAAAACAGACATATTAAAACACAGATTAAAAGGTCTGACAGTTTTGGCCAGCAAGTAGTGCACACAGCTTCAGGTGGTCATGTAGATGACCAGGATTAATAAATAAATGAATAAAATAGAATTATGATAAAAATAAATATGATAAATATTACAGTCTATAGAGACAGATCATGATTATTGCACAGTGGGGATATGGGGAGTTATTTTTGTGTGTTTAATGTCCTAATGGCCCATGGGAAGAAAATGTTTGTGAATCTGGAGGTGCGGGCTTTCAGTGAACGTTAGCGCCGGCCCGAGGGCAGCAGGTCGAACAGATGACGGGCTGGGTGGGATGAGTCCTTCAGGATGGAACTGGTCCTCCTGAGGCAGCGAGAGCTGGTGATGTCTTCCAGGGAGGGCAGCCAATAATCCTCTGGGCCGTGTTAATGACCCTCTGCAGAGCCTTCCTGTCGGCAGCCGAGCACCCTGCATACCAAGCAGAGATGCAGTATGTGAGGACGCTCTCAACTGTAGAGCGATAGAAGAGGTCACCAGCAGCTGTCTGTCAGGGATGGGTCTTCCTGAGCTAGTCTCAGGGAGTTACAGTCGCTGCTGGGCCTTCTTTATCGACTGCCGTGGGTGTGTGGACCAGGTGGCTCGCTGGGAGATGTGTACTCCCAGGATTAAATGAAGGCACCCTCTCTACACGTCCCGTTAATGTATGAGGGGCTTGGGTCTAGTGCTGGTCTCGCGTCCTGAAATCGATAAGTAGATTGATCTGTC